GCATTGCCCCCACCACCCACCCAGCCAGCAAAGCACAAGTGCCACAAGTGCCACAATGAAGCCCAGGTGCCACAGCACAGTTCCAGGATGTAGCAGGGCTCCCCGACAAGGCAAATCCCAAAGACACACTTTATCACACGTTTATTGCATGTCCAGGGGTGGGGTTGAAGCTTAGGCCCACACTTCTCCTATGAAGCATTGCCCCCACCACCCACCCAGCCAGCAAAGCACAAGTGCCACAATGAAGCCCAGGTGCCCTTCCTAGCAGCCTTCCTATCAAGCACCCAGTTCTCTATAAAATCCGCCCGCACCGAAGGTGCTGAGGCGTTTTATAGGGCTGTGCTTGCAATCCGTTAGTATCGTCAGTATACAATAGCTTTAGCTAGGGGGAAGGGGGGGGCATTTTTGCTCTAGAATCCTGTGTTTTTCACGTTTTTGGAACCGGCTTAAAGTGCTTTCGTGCTAATGTTGGGTATCTTGAAGGCTTTAGGGATGCAAGAAATGCGAGTTTCTGCTTTGCATCATCTGCATCATCTGGACATTGGGCTGAACAGGTTCCCCTAACGGGGCTCAACATAGCTTCCATATTGCGTAACCACTATCTAACGGACGTGTCTGCGAGATAGGGACTTGAACGTCCGGGTACGTGGGTGGTCCGGAGCAGAGATAAGCAGGTCAGGTCCAGGAACGGTAACATTATCTCACGAGCATAGCTCCCATATGGTCGAACATAACTCCAGAAGTCACTATCTCAAGTATGCTTTCCCGAGATAGGTACTTGAACGTCGTAAACATGGCCCAACGAAGGCTCAAAAGGGACTGGAATAGAGTGAAGGCGGATTGCCTAACATGGCCCTAGAAGTCACTATCTAACGGACGTGTCTGCGAGATAGGGACTTGAACGTCCGGGTACGTGGCTGGTCCGGAGCAGAGATAAGCAGGTCAGGTCCAGGAACGGCAAAACGGGTACGTATGATAACCCTAGAAGTCACTATCCAACGGACATGTCGGCGAGATAGGGACTTGAACGTCCAGGTACGTGGGTGGTCAGGAGCAGAGATAAGCAGGTCAGGTTCAGGAACGACAATACTATCTCCCGAGTAGACCTCCCATATGGTCGAACACTCTCAAGTAAGCTTCTTCGAGATAGGTACTTGAACGTCGTAAACATGGTCTCACGAAGGCTCCAAAGGGCGTGGATTGCCTAACAGAGATCTAGAAGTTACTACCGAAAGGACGCGTCTGCGCTTGAACGTCGTAGACTGGAATAGATTCCCCCTTAACGTAGCTAAACATAGCTTCCATATTGTTTGGCATAGCATTAGAAGTGATATTTGGCTTCACCGGAGCAAAGACAAACCGAAATCACGTTCTGGAATGGCAACCTCGCAAATAACGTGGCCTAACGAGGGCTCAAAAAGGACTGGACAAGCACGTCTCCTCGAGAGAGGGACTGGGGCGTCGCAGACCGGGACCCCTTTTGCACTCCGTGCGCCGACTCCATCGACAGGGTGAAACATGCGCTCTTCTCAGTACAGCTGCACCATGTCACATCACGTCCCGTGACGTGTTAACCTTGTAGAGATGGGGAAAAGAACGTGAACTACCTGAATTGCCAGGGAGATTAAAACCTTAGCTCGCCACCGTGCTGGAAAGTACTGCAACAAATCCTGAGCAAACTTCAAGGAGCAGGACTTAGAGTGATGGCACAGCACTGGCCAGGACGCCTGCAAATAGGCCCATCCATGGAAGGTCACGTGCTCATAGGTCCGAATACCTTCCTGTGGCCGATGGCCGCGCTGGAAGTGTCCGCCGCGGGTGTTCCCGGAAGAGACACCTCCAGGTTAGAACCCTTCTGGAAATACCGACTACTTACCAGTGCAACTACGCAGCTACGGGTGCAGCCACGAAAACAACCGTCGCTAATGACGGCAATTTCCGGTGTCGCCTTGCCATGCCTTGCCCGTGTCACCGATCTCCGCACTGGCAGTATCCGCAGCAGGTACTGCAGGAAGAGACGCCTCCAGGCTGGAAACTCAAATACGTTTGTGCATTCTCCGGTCGTGAACCATCAAACAAGTGTTTGTGTCGGCTTCAAAGAGTACCAAGGGAGGTGGCTCATTTTTTCGAGCTGGCTACTTCAGAGCGGTCTGTCTCTGATCGTTCACGCTGCATGGTTGCAGTTCTAGGAGCTCAGGTTTCCCCAGGTTCAGGAAGGCACATTGACACGCAAAGTTAAAGCACCACGAATCGTCTTGGGGCGGCAGGAGCGCCCTGCCAACACCGAGCTGTTTCCGACAGAACCTACGTCTTTGGTAGGGGCTAAATGTTTTGGTGTCGGCCAAGGTCAACCGTCCCATCGTGATACCTCCGGCAGTGGTGGCGGCCCTTCAGCAGCCACAATTACTTAAAAAGGCGTCCAAGTTTCTATGGGCCGTTGAGCTCCAGACCAAAAGATCCGTCAGTCACGAGCCTGCAGTTGCGTCATAGCTGGAAACAGTTGCCAAGGCAAAGCTAGAGTATTCGGATTCTCGCGGCCTCGGAAGCAGCTCTTGGATCAATTTGTTGGTTGCCTTCGGTCGCCGCATGTGCGTGTGGCTGATCTGAAAGTTACCCCACACATAAAGGACCTAGAGGTGATCCTAACTGAGTTGGCTTCGAGACACAAGGGCACGGCCGAGCAGCTTCTTGAGAAGCTCTCCAATTTGGCTTCTGTGCCTTGCCAGAGTGATGGACCTAGTATATTGCCTTACCCCCTGCCCACCATACAAAGTGAAAGAGAAATGAACCTTCTAACTTTCACACCTTCCAAAGCTCAGTTCCAGGCTGCTCGAAACAGAGCGAAGTCCTACGTCAGTCACGACATTCTTTCCCAATCTGCTACAAAGCTTTTGGACAATGACCCTAATTGCCAGTAAGCCAATCCCCGCATCCTCTTCTACCAATTTCACCAACACCTTGTTCAAGCAATCACTAGACAGAGTCGGCCGAACCTGTTTTTGTCCCTCCTCCCCGGACTCGCCGTCCGGCAATTGATACACTCTCCCTTTGGAGCGAGAATTCCGTACTGTTCCACTCCATCAACAATTCGACGGTCTGCCTGCTTCCTCAGCAGCATCCACGAAGGCTTACATGAAAAAGTACGTGGTCCATTTGGATTACCAATATCCAAGTCGTCCGCACAACAAAACCGCCCCAAGTCGTCCGCACAACAAAACCGCCCGAGCTGTATTTTCTTTCGGTTGATGACTTATTATGAACACCTCCGGCCGATAGATATCTCTTTGTCTGCCTATTGTTCTATCTACCTGATCTAATCTAGCTTTTGTTTGCTTATTGTTCTATCTACCTACTCTAAATTCATCCTCCACCATTGAAGCTGTTTCGAACCACTATGTTGCCATGTCTTGGAATTCCCATCATAACCCACTTGAAAACAAAAACTACCAAAAAAAATCAAACCTAGACACAATCGAGCCCAACTGCTAACCAGCTCTCACGGATACGAACCAACGCAGCCTGACCTGCCGTGGATAGATCGTCTTCACCCGGCAACTTCCGTCCTGCAAGAGATCCACTACTCACATCTTCTCCCTTCAACTGAACAACACTACCTCCATCATCTCATGTTTCTACTTATGTTTGCATTTAGAACGCCCCAGACGTCACTATCTCAAGATCATAGCCCAACAAGGGCTCAACAGGGACTGGACAAGCTTGCAAAGTCGCTATCAAAATCACTCTCTTCGAGATAGGGACTTGAACGTCCGGGTACGTGCCTAGTCCGGAGCACAGATAAAGAAAGATAAGGCGATCAGGAACAGACATTAGGAGAGACAGAGTCTTGGAACGGTTACCTGATCTCACGAACAGAGCTCACTGCGACAAGCGGTCTCCGACGCAAACCCATCTCCTCGCATGATTGACTCGCTGCACACGGATGAAGCAATGACCTCCTCCCACTTTAGCGACTCCTCCTCCGGCAGGTCGTCGAACGCCACAAGCTGGGAGCGCCACACGACCACGTGCCGCGCGATGACCTGCAGCAGACTTCGGGCCAGCGCATGGCTGCGCAGCCTTGCCAGGAGGGTTTGCTGCCACACATGGGCACGGTGCAATCCCATTGCCTGATAGAAGTGAAGAAGCTCTTTCCTTTCGTCCCCTTGAATCGCACACAGCACCCAAGCCGGGCGCTCGCTT